AATCATCGTCTACAAAAAGTAACAACTCTTTCAGCACCCTACCTCTAAACCACTCAACATAAATCAACACAATATACAACACAACACAGAGTTCATCACAATAAAAGCCTAAAGGAACCACCCCAACAGAGTGTTCACTAGACTCGAATTGCTTTGATACCATAAAAGTGTAACGACCCGCCTAGCCGTCACACAGCAAAACATCACCACACAAGAACAGAGTATGCATATCAAAGAATATAAAGATAAGTACATTTCAAATCCACACCTCCATAATCCAATCCAAATCCAAATAAACAACATACATATATATATATATACATATATATATATATATATATACACATAAGTCTAGCTTGGGGATCAACAAGTCAGTAAATCCACAACTACAACATAGCTACACCAAGTAGCCCATAAACAAAAAGTCTACTCCTACTATCACCTGTAGCCCTGCTACTACACTCCAGCCTATCCCTGGTCTGCTCCCATACACAGTATGATCATTGTAGTCCAACCCACATGGAAACAGGCAAAGGTAAGCTAGTGAAAAGAATCAACATATAATTAAATTATAAACAGCTTTCAACTTATCAGCACATCATCACTCTCAACAGATTTAACATACAACACATAACAGCATACAACTACATCACAGCTACACAACACACTACACACATACAGCTCATATCAATCAGCAAATCAACACCACAACAGCTTATGCGTCGTCACGCATTTCAACTCGGATATCTCCTACAACATGGGTAAGCAGTTTAAGTGGCTAGGTCCTACCGAACCGACAGCAAAGAACCTTTTTGGGTTTGCTAGGTACACAACAAATTTGGATATCAATCCACAACTTCACGATTCTTAGACTTTGCCACTTAAACAAGGAAGTATAGTACTATGTCAGGATAGAACAACTGGGTTTTACGCCTACCACGATATTAGCTAGCTTAACTAAGCCACCTATGGAATTAGCCTACCGACTATCCTCCAAATACCACAACCTTCCGATACTCAGTTAGGAACTAAGTTCCCGACTTCGTACTTTACTCGATTGGCCGCTTGTAATTGGTATAGCTCGACCTGGCCCCTATATCGTGATCGCTTTGTACACGTGTGCCTCGACCTTGCCCACACACGGGACCAACTAGGTACTTAGAGGAGAACAACACAATGATCCAAGGGATAACTTTCCAAGGAAGGTTTTCAACAAATTGGGCTTTGAGAGCACCGCAGCTTCCTCAATCCACACAATGGGATGATCAACTTCGAAGACATCTCCTCTAGTCCTAGTGATCAAAAACTCATCATTACTGCTTAAACAACTCACATTCAACAACATAGCTCAACAATTTAAACAACATGTTCAACATTCAGCACAACTCAACTTAAACAACATTAACAGCTTAAACATCATACAACCTACCTCAGCTTAACATCATTAATCAGCATAAACAACATACAACACAACTCATCTTAACATCATTAATCAGCATAAACAACATTCAGCATTTTCAGAGTCATAGATTAAGACACCTCCACGCCCGGTGCAATAGGATTTGCGCCCGGCCTAGACCCAACCCGAGAGCTCTAAAGCTCTTACACGCCCGACGCAATTCCAATTACGCCCAGCGCGATTAGGAGGCAGAGACTCCCAAGAGTCTCCCAAGCCCTGCGTACCAAACTCGCTCTCGACGCAAGTAAGGCAGAGATCTCATAAAGGTCTCACGCCCGGCGTGCTCATTCTATGCCTGGCACCACCCCAGGCAGAGACCCCCATGGAGTCTCGACGCCTGACAAGATCTAATCATGCTCGACGCCATGCCAGTAACTCAACTCTTTGAGTCCCTATCTGATATCACGCCCAGTGCGGTTCTCCCCACGCCCAGCGTGAGCCATCCAGGGACTTCCATTCCCAAGCTCGCCCGATGCAACCAACCTTGCACCCGACGTGCTTGAACAATGGAGCTCTCTGATAGACACACGCTTGGTGCCAAGAACTACGCCCGACGCAATTTCAAACAGTAACCCTCACCACTTCGAAAATTTCACCCAAAACTTGCAAAATCAGCCAGCTCAAACACATGCAATCCATCAAATGAACTACATTTACATCATACAACTCAAAAACCATATCTTTTTCAACATGGAACCATCAAATGCATAAGCATCCCCATTTTTCCCAATTTTCCCAAAACCCCGAAAACGAGGAACTCTCCAATCCAACCATCAATCTTCTGAAATCATGCAACATTTGAGTTCTCACACTCCTTTACAACCAATCCGCACGAAAACTAACTTCCCTTACCTCGGAGAAGAAGAATCCGAGCAAACAACGAACTTTGCACGTCTTTGAGATTGAAGGATATGAAGAACGAATGATGAACAACCTTGGTGCTCACCACTTCAGCCTTGGAGAAAGAAATCAGAATCAGGTCAAGAGGCTTGGAGAGAAAAACGAAGTGAAGGGAGAAAAGGGTAAAGAGAAAGAGAGGAAGTTTTGGGTGCTGCGGGTCTTACAATTTCGGTTAGTAGTATCAAGTAAAAAAAATAATGAAAATTCAAAGAGCATTATTAGTTTTGTGTTTGTATATATTTATTCATTTGCATTACTTTTCATGATTAAATTGTTTCTTGATAACAAATTTTTTAGAAAAAATAATGTATGATGTTATTTGAGTAGTCTATACCTTTAATATCATTTGATTTATAGAGTTTATGAATAGTGATTTACTACTATGATCTTTTTTTTTAAATATAAAAAATAATTTTTTTTTAAATATGTAATAATTATAAGTGTCAATTGAATAATATTTTTATCTTTAACGTTGTTTAATTATGAAGATTTAATAACTAATCATTTGTTAGTTTAAGTTCTTGTGCAAGAATAATTTTTTTTTTTATAAAATGAATAAAAAATAAAAGTTGTATATTTTGATAAAATATTAAAAATATATATATATATTGCAATCGATAACGTTAATTGAATATCATTGTACCTTTAACATTATTATGAGGGTTTAATGATTAACTATTTGTTAACTTAAATCATTATGCAAGTGTTTTTTTGAGATAAAAATATATTTTAAAAAAGTCTTTTCATATATAAAAAATTGAAAAAATAAAGGATAAAAAAAATATTTCTTAGGTTTAAAATAAGTATTTATAAAGTTTATAGTTTTGTATAATTAAATAAAGATACTTTTCATATTTTGGAGGGCGATAAAGGATCCATTTAGGATGAAATCACTTGAAATTTTTTCCATTGTGTGCATTAATTTCAATTCATTCTATTTCATTTTAAGGAATCCAAAAAAAAAACAAATCAACTTGTGATTTCATTCTATATATTGATTTATTTTATCCATTTTTTTTATATCAATCCAAATAAAGTCTTATTGATCAGAAGCTTATTCAATTCTCTTTAAGTATAGTATCAAATTTGAGTCTTATTTCTAGAAAAAGAAAAATTAATATAAGGAAAGCCACTATAATATAAATATTTTTCTCTCTTAGATCAAGATTGTCTGGGTAAACTCTTAAATAGGATTTTCCCTATCACTATTGCACTTATAATCACAATTTTACGAATTATAATAAAGTAATGGCACAAAAATTAAATGAGGTACATTGAAACCGCGTTTAGTGGACGCAGCAAAGCGATAAGAATACCAAAATGAGAATGAATTCAAAGTTGACTTCTAGTGGACACCACAAACCACGAAAGTCAATTGTCTTTCATGCGCAAACCAAGACACTTGACTGCATTTTAGCCACCAAATATTGACCCAGAATTCAACGTAGCTAATTTTTTTATATATTATTTTAATAAAAAAATATAACATTTTCTTTATCATATGGGTCTATGTAAGAGTAAAATATTACTTTTGCTTACAATTTTATGCTCAAAATGAGAGTATCAAATTTCAATTGATATTAAATCACTGGAACAATAATTTTTAGTATTTCTTTCAGGTTTTTTTTTTTGACATTCGATGTTTCTGCACAAAAATTAAGAAAATAATTGATATTTTAATTTTTTAAAGTATATATTATTTATTTTCCTGTTATATTTTATAGGTGATTGGAAAATAAATAAATAGATTAAAAATGAATAAATATATGGTTTAATAAACACACTTTAATTATCAAGAATAAAAAAAATTAGTAAATCATTAATTTTAGAAAAATAATAATAATAAAAAATAAAAAAAATAGTGACACGACTATAAAAAAGATAGAGAGATAGTAACTTAACTATTTCTTTATTTTCACTCTCCCTACGTTTTTTTTTTCTCTGAATTTATTAGGTGTTGAGAATTAGTACTATCCATTAATGGAGAATTAATATTTTAAAAGAGAAGAAAAATAGTCAATGAGACTGCTTTAAAAATCATACTTGACATTAAAGACAATTTGTTAAAAGTCATTCGGTAGTAAATTGTACACAATTGGAATAAACCGGTGTCTATCTTTGTCTAAAAAATTTCTTATTTCACAAGCGAAGATGTTCAACCACCCTCAATATTTGAACTTATTTTTCCATCACGCATGCCTTATTAGAAGGTAACAGAAAAATTAAATATAATTTTACTTCATAAATTTTCGTTGATTTTTATTTTTAATTCCTAAGCATGTTTTATTTGATTTTAATCTTTAAAAAAATTATGAATTAAAATTTTCGATACCAAGAACCAAAATTATGAATAGGAGAAAAACTTCAAATTAGTGAAAGTAAACATTAATACAAATTCAAAAATTAAGAATACATTTATTATTAATAATAAATATTATAACGATGATATATATAAGAGTTTTTACATTCCCAACAACCACTCCTTTTTTTTTTCCCAATAAAAAAGTATTAAAAAGAGAAAAACTCCATAATAACACAAACTTCTCCAAATTAAAATATAGCAGCTTCTCCCTCACTTCACGAGAAATTATCACATAATTGAAGACGTTAATCAATTTTCACATAATTAAACATTATTAGGTTTCAAACAAAATTAAAATTCTTGATCATATATCATGAAATTCGATCTAGACGATCACGAAGACAAAGTAAACCCTTCAAAAAAAAAAAAAAAACAGCTTAGAGCAATCTAAATCTAAACATACTCGAACCCAAGTAGCAACACTCGGATACAATCCTATACAAGAGAAACGAAAAGCAAAAGTCACGTGCGACTAGAAAGGAGGCAGGCACGTGCGAGGCAAGTTCAGTGGTGGTGGTGGTACTGGAGCTGTTCCGGCTCCCTGCGGCGGATGAAGTAATACTCAGGCAGGGGACTGGCACGTGGCGACCTGAGAGGCATCTGGTTCACCTGTTTCCCGTTACTATCGTAGTAAATTACGCCCGAGAAATCCAACGGCTCGCACTTGTCGCCCATCAAGATCGATTTCTGCCACACGCCGCCCTGGCCCCACTCCTCGCCCTCGCGCTTCTTCTTGCCCCGCCCCGGGATAAACGGCAGCGTTTTGTCGCTTATGCCTCTCAGAAGCTTCTTCGGCGACCGCAGTTCGATCCTCCACTCCTCCGCCGCCTTCAGCTTCCGCGGCAGCCTGCACGCCCGCTTCGCCGCCACCGCCAGCAGCGCCCTCACGCTCACCAGAAGCTTCTGCACGTGCCGCTTCGACGAGTCCATGGTCCAGTCAATACGAGGAGTTTCGCTTCGGTGAGGCTTATGGAGGAACGTGAGAGTGCTTTGCTCTATATTTATATATATAATATAACATGTAAGGTGCCTCAGCCCTCAGTGTCTGCTTCTCTCAATTTCGTATGAATTTTGCTGGTCAAATATTTTAATTTTTAATAATTAATGATAAAGATAAATTTATTATACCCAAACTGAATCCTTGTTTTAAAAATTAATTATTATATATTAAATACGATTTTTTATTTTACGTAAAAATATTTTTAAGGATTTTTTTCATAAAAGATATTTAAAAGTTTTTAGCTTTTATTTATTATAATTATTTATTAAATTTTAATATTAATAATAATTTATTATAAATTTTAATTATATATGTTAAATATTTAGCTTGAACGCTATATATAGACTAAAATAAAATATTAGTAATTATTTTATTTTAGTTACACATAATTTTGAAATAATTAACTATTTTCATATTAATTTCTTTCTTACATGAGAAAGAATTAAGATAATTAGAAATACGAGACTATTACGATTATTTCTTTTATAATTTTTTCTATCTTTACTTAAAAAAAATTAAATAAAATTTAACTTGGACATGAAATTAAATGGAACTCGAAATTTTAGAAGTAATGATTTGCTTCGGTAAAATTTTCTAAAATAAAGTAACTTATGATTTGTAAAGTATCTATTATATCTTTTTTTAAAATTATTATTAACTTGATTAGTTTATGGAGATTTTTTATTTTCTTTTCTTATAATTTTTTTTAGAAAAATTGATTAAAAAAACTACAAATCTTTAATTAAAGATAAAAAATATAATTTGAAAAGGGGATTTCAATAAAAATTGTTGTTAAGATTTCAAGATAAGGATTAATTATTAAAAAGTCATTAATAAAAAAATTATATTTACACCATGATAAAATACAAATAATTTCTATTAAAAACGCGTTTTGTTTTTTTGGTAAAGTATTAAAAACGCGTTTAGTAAATCTAATTTCAGTGTTGAAAAAAAACTTATAACCAATTAGGAACCGAAAATATATACGTTAATTAATTAAATTTAAAGTGTTTGATAAAATTAATTAAAAATTACAAAATGATATAGAAGGATGGATATATTTAAGTATTTTATGTAATATGAGATTTAAATTAATAAATGAAGTTAAAATAATCAACAACTTATAAATTAGTTTATTTTCATAAGTTACTTCAAGTAAATTATGAAAATATGCTAAAAGTTACTAAAATAAATTTATTTATTAAACATGTTTTTTTAATCAAATTAACTTATAAATTTTTGTAAGAGTGTTTTTACCAATGGTTCTTATAAATAACTTATTAATATTTTTATTATATTTCAAATATTTTAAAAATTTGTAGACTTAATATGTATTAAGGATTTTTAATTTAACGGTTGGGTCGATGAAATTCATCATACACCATGAGTTATTGAGCGAAATAATTTTACCAAGAGTTACTTTGTGAGTCATTTGAACTCTCCCCTCTCTTTCTTTCTCTCTCTCTCTCTCTCTCCCTCCCTCTCTCTCTCTCTCTCTATATATATATATATATATATAATTTACTAGTCTTTTTTTTTGTAACAATTTATTAGTATATATATAGATATTTAAAATTTTATTCATCATTTTTAATATATGATTATCAATTTTAATAATCATTTATTGTTACTGAATAGAATATTAAACATTTTAGATAGATGTAATTTCTAATAGAATATTAAACATTTTTGACAAATCAAAATTTTGATGGAATATTAACCATTTTCGATAGATATTTCATCAAAAATCTCTTATCGAAAACCATTAAATTTTTGACAAACCATTATCCATCAAAAAATTTTGACTTAAACATCTCTCTAAAATTTCTATTAGAAATTCTTACATTTTTAACAAATATAAATCCGTTGAAAATATTCTATCAGTAATATATCTACAAATTTTTTTCCATCAATAAAATTCATAAAAAATATAAATTTTCCAACAGATTTATATTCATAAAAAAATATCCGTTGGTAATTTGCATTTTTCTTATAGTGTTTGCTCTAACGATAAGATCATATAAGTAACATATAATTTTATAATATTTTTGTTTACACTTCACTTTTTGAAAACATAAAAAAATAATGTAATTATTATAATTAAATATTAATTTAATTAGACATAATAAAAAATATTTTTACATATAAAATTAATAATAAAAATTACATAATTAATTTAATGTCACTAGTACATAATATACATTTTACGTCGATCATTTTAGGAGTTTTTACGTCAGAAAAACTTTCGACATAGAAGCGGGAGACGTAAATTTACGTCGGGGCGCGAAAATCGACGTCAATTTACGTCAGACATGTCAAGGTCCGACGTAAAAAAGATAAAAATTTAAAAAAAAAATTGAGTGCAAGCAGAACAGGCCGTTCTGCTTGATAGACTCAGGAGTGCGTCTCCAAACCCGGACTTGGTCACTTCCTTCTCCAGCTTCAAAAACTCGCGCGAAATGCAACACAAACATTATTACGAAAAAAACACCCCAGAAAACACAAACTTGATAGAAGATGCTACCTCATAGAAGAAAAACGCAACCCTCCGAAGAAGAAAAACATCATCACGCGAAGAAAAACAAAATAAGGTGCAGATGAGGAGGACAACCACGATTTGAGGAGGAGGCGGAGAGATGAGGAAGAAAAATAGATAGAAGAAGGTGCACGATTTGAGGAGGAGGCGGGAGAAGGAAACCATGAAATTTTTGAACTAGCTAGTGCGCGCAATACACCTTCTTTTAAGCATCCTGTGTGGGTTATTTACGTCAGCCCTAATTGGGTCCGACGTAAATTTTAACATCTACGTCGGACACAATGCATAGCCGACGTAGATGTTAAAATTTACGTCGGACACTTGGAGGTTCGACGTAAATAATTTAACAAAATTTCGAAATATGTCACCGCGTTTTTATTACGTCGGGTCTTTGTATATCCGACGTAAAATGAATGACGTAGTATCCTATTTTTCCACTAGTGTGTGCAGAAAAAATATTAAATATTAAAAGTAAAGATATCACATAATCATAAAAAAAATATATAAAGATGATAAATGACTAACTTTTGATTCGTAGATAGTGAAAGATTAATGATGTATAACTTTGTTTTTATTTGTTAGAATAATTTTTGTTTTAAGCAATGTTGCATTTAAAAGTCGTTATTTATTTTAACACAATTTCACTTATCATATCATCATACTTCAACAGAAGTTGCTAATAAATTATTTTATTAGTAAGATACACCGCAAATAATCTCTATTACAAATCCTCTAATATCTTATTAAGCACACTCTTAATAATAAATTATTAAATTAATTAAATAATAATAATTTAGCCATTTTCAAACGATTATTTTGCTGGTCAAATCTTTTTTCTTTTTTCTTTTTAATTTGTAATAAAGATTACTTTGACCGTAAAACTAAGTAAACGCATTTTAAAACTTTCTATGCAAAATTTTGGTGGTTTAATAGTACCTAGTTAACATGGCATATTTTGGATACTAATTTTCATATTCATTTTTGTATTTTGGTTGTCATTGTGTGATGATTTTTTTTTTCTCTGAAAAACTACTGTGAGATGTTAATTAAGACACGTGGGTATAAATGAAGAATGATTCTCTATGCAACTGGGAAGAAATGATGTTTCTACAATAACAATATCCTTTGCTCTTGACATAGTTGCATTCATTAATTGCGTATTTGATAAGATTTAAATTTGTCGTTTGGAGATGTATTACCATATCAAATAGGATACTGAAATTTAATGACTGATATCTGTTATAAAAAATCATGAAGGTTTTGTAATTTTCCAAAGGAATTTTAGAAAAGTTATCTAAAAATTGTTTATCATTTATGGAAAAGGATATTTACATACGTTTAATTTTTTCCTAAGTGCCACTTTAGTAAATTTTTAGTGACTAATATATATACAGTGAACTTTATCTCATAAACTTTGTACTATTTGGTCGGTACAAATAATTAAAAGAAGAAAAAAAAATGACATTATGATGCAATAAAACTAATAGGACATGATTTTGTTGTTTAACCTAATTAGTATTTGATTTTAAGGGATTTCATTCTATGTATGAAATATTTAGACGTGAAAAAGAGAGAAATGAGATCAATTAAATAGTGTTCCGATGCTATGCTAGTGTGATCGTCGGATTGGTTATTTAAGTTATTAAATTTAATTCATTATACTCTAAATATTATATCTCTTTTTTAATGACAAGTAATTTGAACCTTTTTTTCGCATTTATTTTTTACATTTTAAAGAATTATTATATTTTTATGAAAAATATTTGGTCAACCTTTGGTGTGAGTGTTGAAATCTTAAAAAATTTCGATCTTATCTATAGATGGTGTTGACTTCTATTTAAAAATCGCATCAATTTAGGAATGTTCGAAGACCAGAATAATCTTTTATCAATGATTTTCGAAAAAGGTTCTTAGGAGTTGCCATTTGTCGGAATCCAAAAAATTTTCGATCTTACTCACAGATGATTTTGACTTCTATTTGAAAATCTCATTAATTTAGGAATGCCTGAAGATCAAACTAATCCTTCACCATTGGTTTTTGAAAAATGTTCTTAGGAGTCGACATTTTACTCAAAACATCGGAAAAAAGAAAAGGTTTTTAAAAAGTTAATTATGGCCTTGATAGTCAAAATTAGGTTCGCGGATCGATTACGCATAGAGAAGGTATTAAGTACCCTACAACCCCCTAATATGATACCCTATGATGATTTTAGCATAATAATAAACAATTATTTTAATATTTACCCCTTTATTGATTATTTACATATTTAAGGTCTACATGATGAACAATTTGTTATGAATGAAACAAATTAAATAAATAAAAAAGAGGATTGATAGGAAATACCTCCGAAGCAAATATTTGTAGAAAGACATTCGAATCTTAGTACAAAGGTACATTTTGATAGCCTTTCGCTCTACAAAAGCCTCACAAACACTTACTTGGACTAGGTCAACT